TAATGGTGAGTCAGTCACACATCAGTCTAGTAATGGTGAGCGCATCAGTCACTGTAATGGTGAGTCAGTCACACATCAGTCTAGTAATGGTGAGCGCATCAGTCACTGTAATGGTGAGTCAGTCACACATCAGTCTAGTAATGGTGAGCGCATCAGTCACTATACACTGGTAGCCCGACCACCTAACTGATGTCAGCAGTAGCGGTAAGAACTATCGCCCCAGTTTGAAACGGTGACACCATGCGCATGCCTGACAAATGTAGCCGTAAACAACTGTCTAGAAACTGTAACTTGCTGCAATAATGGCTGTTGTTAACTTAAATTTACTTGTGTCGCTACTCGCTAGAACTGAAGTTGCGTGGATTTTTAGCGCATTTTCTCATTTATGGAAAAAATGCACTATTGTGCTCGCCATGTCCGTCTGTCTGTCTGTCTGTCCGGCGTCCGTCCGTGACCTCAAGTTTTAGTCGACGAGAAAATGCGCTCTCTGTCACTCACTGCAGTAAGTACTGAGTTATATTTTTATTTTTCATTTATACACTGGGTTGTGTAGAGCAGTCCTTGCACGTGGAACCTCAATGACCGCACATCTGTGGCACCCTAAAACATAGTAATGCTGAACATGTGTGGCGTGCAGCTGTATTGCGTATATTAACACTTGTTGTTATGAAGACAATTCTCATAATTGTGGTGATTTGGTTACAAGAAAAATCATGGACAGATATTTTTCATTGTAAATCCTTATAAAATGGTTTTGGGTTTCCACTAAACTGCCTCACACACAAGCATCCACGGCATTTTATAATAACCAACGGCGGTTATTTTCTATGCCGAAAAGATTTTTTTATTCTGAGCGCTATTTATGGGCAAAAATTATGAATCTATGAGAAGTGTATTTCCCATACATTTGATGAATGTTAGAGGGCAGTGAATGTCCTTCAACCTTTTAAAAACATGTATGCTTTAATCGATTTTAAATAATGCGTCAGTATTCATCGAAAATCTCGTCTATATAAGCAACATGTTCAGACAAATGCATTGTTGAGAACGCCATTGTCTCGTTGAGAATGAAAGGCCTGCATACAGCTGTCGATGCTCTATCATTATGCATCTAAAGCGCTGCAGACAACACAGTCAATCTGTTTGTCTGGTAAATATTTGGTGGGATTTTAATTCTTGATTATCATGCATGTGAAGATAATGGGTTTAATTCGGCAGGAGCCTTTCTTATGTGCAAGTGTGACTGAGGACTAGAGCATTCTTTTTATTAACAATCCTATTTGTTTTTTTTTTCAATGAGTGGAACAAAATTTCTTGCTGGTGCCGGGAGATCTAAAAGCAGGTTACTAAATGACATTTTAATGAAATGCAATGTTTCGAATATACAATAGGTATACATTATACATTATTATATATACCTTCACTATATAGTGAAGGTTTCGCAACGCTTGAAATTGAACTTTTGGAAATTACAGCAGTACAAATCAAGGGTATTGTTGATACAGTTTGAAATCTAAGCTTAGAAATTACTCTAACAATAATTTCAGTGTCCGGACGAATCCCTTAATTATATATTAAAGAATTGAAGATAATTGAGCATGTTGCCTTCTCAGTAATGTATTGCGCTATCAAATGCAAGTTTGAAATTATTGACATTGTTCTTTTTGCTTTAAAAAGTAACAAAAAATTAAACTCGGCCATAAAGATTCATGCGCAGTCTATTTGAAGTTAAAATCTTGTCAGTCACTTGCAGGACCGCCTGTGTGTTAAATGCTGTGTTAACAAGTGTGTTAAATGCACAAACCTGTGAATGTGTTTGTCATTGTACACCTAAGCCTGGATACAGGCTGAGCTGCTACCTAAACGCTTAAGTCGCCACCCGAGGCACGTGGCGCAACTCGATCCAGTCTTAAAGCTCAGAGTTCATGTCACAGATATACCCTATCAAAATTTAGAGTCGCCCCAGCTTCTGGTAATACAAATCAGAAGCTGCCGCGTCTGCAAATTTTCACTGGCCCTAACAAAATTTAGAGTCGCCCCAGCTTCTGGTAATACAAATCAGAAGCTGCCGCGTCCGTAAATTTGCACTGGGTATAGATCCTGAAATCAAATTAAGCCTGTCTCGGGGTCAACAGGCGCATGTAATACCAGGTAATTTTCTGTACAGTGTAGTGAGTGTTGAACGTTATAGGTCTTAGAAGAGCTCGTTACTTTTTCTGCACCAGTCCTACAAAAATTGATGCATGGTACAAAATTGTTCAGTGGTGTATAACCAGTCGCAGTGCATTTCCGTAGGCTTCAGAATTCCATCAAATACGTATATGCATGAAGATACCCCGACATGCCTATATTATTACATGGTAACACGAAAATTGAATCTTTATATCAAACTATTCTTACACATTTGAAAACTAAAATTGGTTTTTATATCGTATTGAACGTGTAGTAAGTTGAGAATTCTACTGGAAATAGGGTAAATTACTGCTCGAGTGAGTGAATTCTCTACTGTATCATAGAATTTAAATTTTATTTTCACAGATAATTATTTAAATTCAAGAACAAAAGAGTTATACGTGTGATTGCAGTGTGCAAGAGTTAAACGTTGATCAAGTCGATCAAATTCGGTTTGAGTGGTCTTGCAAATAAGATGACACTCATAATTCAGGATAATAGTTCCTTAGAAGGCCTGATTGAACGAGCAAGAATGGCCTGTTCTTTATTATTGGAGTTCATTATGCACCGATACAGTTAGGTTGATTTAGATACGGCAAGTGACATTGAACTGTTATTTAATAATAATAACAGAAGCATTAATTCCAGGTTTTATGCCAAGACGCTAAGTCTATGGCTCGCTTGATGGATTGCTAATTTATTAATAGAGAATTTCAGTGTCTCGGGCCTGGAAGTGAATAACTCAAGCTTGGTTGTGTACAATCACTGCGAGTTATTGAGAATCACTTAACTTGCACTGTTGGCAGCCGCTGCATGAATTTGGTAGTGTTGGCGTAATATCTTAGCTCAGTTTTCTTTGCCTATAAAATTATGTCACTTTCACTCCGTGTTCATTACTGAAGTAAATACAAAGTATTGGCCTCGGTAGGTGTAAGTAGCAAGGTCGACACTTTATAAGTATTCGAAACGATCAGTGTAACCTCTTTACATGGAAACGATTTACTGTATTTGTATACCCAGTCACATTTTGACCTTTGCTTAATCGATATGGAAGCTTTTTTCCAAAAATTTGGCTACAAATAAAAACCTAAGTTCCATGTTCAGTTTCTGTTAGCGATCGAATTATTTCCTTTCCAAGGTTAGTAGGGCTGGGGGCCAAGATCGCACGAATCCTGCCTAATTTGTGTGATTCACGCGTCGTGCTTGTGCGGATCATCAAGGATTGCCTATAGGCAGGAAGCAGTGGACATAGCCCTATATTACCTCGCCCATTCAATCCTTCAGTAGAGGAGAGGTGCCTGTACTAAACACTGAAGGAATCACTCATCGTGCTTGTGCTGATCATCAAGGATTGCTAGGCAGGAAGCAGTGGACATAGTCCTATATTACCACATTCAATCCTTCAGTAGAGGAGAGGTCTGTACTAAACACTGAAGGAATCACTCATCGTGCTTGTGCGGATCATCAAGGATTGCTTGGTAGGAAGCAGTGGACTTAGCCCTATTACCACGCCCATTCAATCCTTCAGTAGAGGAGAGGTCTTGGCAGGATTGCTAGGCAGGAAGCAGTGGACATAGTAGCCCTATATTACCACACCCATTCAATCCTTCAGTAGAGGAGAGGTCTAGGCAGGATTGCTAGGCAGGAAGGAGTGGACATAGCCCTATATTACCACACCCATTCAATCCTTCAGTAAGAGAGGTGTCTGTACTCCACACTGAAGGAACTCCACGAGGCGGAGAGGGGCGAGAGGTTTTGGTGCAGCCAGGTGGTGTGGTTTGCCTTGAGCTCAGACGGTGGTGTCGCTCGTGCTGAGAGCAAAGAGAGGATGTGTAGGGAGGAGAGGTGGGGTAGGGGAACTGCCTGATAACACAAAGAGAGAAGCATAGAGAGCAAGTGGGAGGAGCTGCTGACTTGCGGTTACACGCTATTTGGCTTGTTTCCGATAAGCTCATAATAAATGACCTTTAAGCCTTAGATGTCGTAGTTGATTTTATTCCTGCATACCAAGGATTATTAAGCGTTATTGGAAGAAGTTTGTATTGTTTATGAGTTTGATACGGATGCGAAAGTACAAACAATTTACAGAAAAATCCCGAAGCTTTACATTGAACAGTTTTGATACTGGAATAACCACGCTGCTTGCTTGTATTTTTAACGGCTATGCTTAAAGAATCATTGTTTAGTGAAGGCATCTGCGCTTCTCCTGGATGGTCGCCGGCTCTCAAGTTATCATCAGTGATGGAGTACGCGTGTCATATTTCTACTTGGATTTTATCTGGGCTACACCATTGGAAAGAATACTGCAAAAAACATGTCTCTATATCGACTTATCTTGCAATTTCTAAAAACCTTCATCGTTTGAATAGTTTAATTTCGAACAAGCGATTGGGATCGGTAGTGTTTATATATTTCTTAAAATTAGTTTCAAATTTTGGATGACTCAATAGTGCTAATTGGCAGGTGTTTGCGTCCCCACATTACTAGAGTTTAGTGAAGTGTTACCACGGGAGTCCTGCAGGGCAGCACGTGGCGTCGCGGATGGGGGCTCAGAAGATTATAAATACGTGTCTTTGGTATTATCACCTTATGCCCATTCAAATATGTTAATATAACTCGGGTGTTCAAACAAATTTGTATGGTCTGCGTTTTATCGATTGATGCGTATTGTTTCATTATAATAAAATTATGTGCGTCATGATTACAAAATGCCAGTGCTTCATTGTACATTATTATGAGCGTAGGAGTAGCGCTGATTAAATTGTAATATTTTTGACGTTTTCCCGTGGCTCTTAATGTATTAATATCATGTTTTTTTCTTGTTCCAGGGAGTTAGCTCCAGAAGATCAGCCGGGAGCAGTAAGAGGTCCCTCATTATACTCGGTTCAGGTGAGACTAGAATTACTCCTGTATTGGTTTATCTCGCATAATGTTAGGGAAATGATGTGTAAGAGACATGAAGCGAAGCTCAGGGCAAACTCTAATGTGGTCTACTCACACGATGTTAGGGAAATGATGTGTATAGGCATGAAGCGAAGCTCTAGATAGGCAAAATTAAATGTACCCTTTGAGAAATCATCAAAAGCTAGTTAACTCTGCGTACTAATTCGGGCAAACTTTACTAACTGGACTTGGAAAAGCGCTAGCCTGCTTGAGCTTATTTATGACCGGGTAAAGGAAATGGTTGTTGTCTCGTGGGAAGGAAAGCATAACCGGCGATTTTTGTTATTCTGTTGTTACCCAGAATTAGTTCTACGTCAAATAAACGACTGGAACATCGAAGGTTTCTTCACTTTTTTTATGTATTGTTAATCTTGGCTTTTTTTTTACGAAATTCGGGCGCAAAATAGCTTTGATATTTGACTACTGGATAGACGAGATATATTTAGTCAACGGTAGCTCTGGCGTGGTTTCTTTCAATAAGCCTTGCTATCTTTTTTTAGGTAATTATCATATCTAGATAGGACAATATTATCTGAACTTTTTTTATGAATTAAGATTTGGCACATTCACAGCCTAATTTACTGTACTTAGGACATTCAATGTACGATTTTTCAAAAATCATTCGTTATATATTTATCAAATTTTATGGAGACGCACATTTTGATGTAAATGATCATTATCATTGTAATAAATTCATTCAAGTCTCGCTGTGTGCTAGCAAAACGCGAATTTTAAAATAAAGCAGCCGGTAATTTCAACTTGAAGCAGCCGGTAATTTCAACTTAATGCAGCCGGTAATTTCAACTTAGAGCAGCCGGTAATTTCAACTTGAAGCAGCCGGTAATTTTAACTTAATGCAGCCGGTAATTTCAACTTGAAGCAGCCGTTAATTTCAACTTGAATCAGCCGTTAATTTCAACTTAATGCAGCCGGTAATTTCAACTTGAAGCAGCCGGTAATTTTAACTTGAAGCAGCCGGTAATTTCAACTTGAAGCAGCCGGTAATTTCAACTTGAAGCAGCCGTTAATTTCACCTTGAAGCAGCCGATAATTTCAACTTGAAGCAGCCGGTAATTTCAACTTAATGCAGCCGATAGACTTTTCTACAGCTCATATGTACGAGTTGATACTTTCAGTTGAGGCTTCGAACTGAGTAACGAATCAAGATAGGCCTACGGCTGGTGCGACTCATCTCCATATATCTTACGATCTTTGAACTGTGATATTCGTTTTTCTTTTAATGTTAGATTTCCTACGCTCTCATTTTGATCCTCCTCCTCTTCATACTCTTGTTTTGTCGTTGCTTTTGCTTGTTTCTGTTAGTCGGAGGTATTTTGTACCACAATTCTTTTGTTTCTAACAGGCATTGCTAACCTCGTAGCTGAGAAATACCCTACTCTACTATTTGGTTATTAGTATAGGTTGGCAGAATTTCTTCCTTTCAAGCAGGTTTCATTGAAGACCAGAGAATTTGTTTTATTCGCAATTTCTTATTAGCTTTTTCAATATATCGAACAATATTTTTGATTTGCCAGTTCAAACTAAAAATATTGTTCGATATATTGAAAAAACTAATGAGAAAATTGCGAATAAAACAAATTCTCTGGTCTTCAATGAAACCTATTTTGTTATTGTACATGATTTTCTGGAAAGGTATCAACGTTTCTTCTCCGGCATCAACGTTTTCATTATGTTCCCAAGACAAGCTTAACCTCGTGATAGAAGATGATAAAAGTATAAAAGCAACACTATCCATGGGGAACTTGTACGTACGTTGATGTAGTTCTTTGAATATTATATTTTTTTTAGAAGTAAATAAACATGATGGTCAACTGATCCGTCTGGCATTAAAACCTTTCTTTATTCTTTTTCGTTTTCTACTGAATTTTTTAAAAGTTAAATCCCAATCATCGCTATTCTTGCATCCTCGTAACTAGGAAATGAATAAATAATCTTCTTCCTTTAAAATCTTCTTTATGCGTTCCAAAAACTTCACACCAGACCTCATGCGTTTCTTCAGATTATGTAATAATCGAAATGTCATTTATTTTCGCGCCTTCGTCATTTGTTATGTGGATTGTCAGAAAGCATGGCAAGTTTTTTTTTACGGTCACTTGAGGCTCCAGAACGAATGCAGGCCTAACGTGAACCAAACATTTGCTTCCATGCGCAGTCTCCTTTGCGCTTTAGCGGTGTGTGGCTGTTCCGTTGTGCTTGCTCCTATCAAGTGGTTTTGATAAGCAAACAGTACGTTTATTCTGTTACTGAACAATCCTTCGGTGCTAACAGGTAGGCTCGTGAGTAAATTTGTTTAATTAATCTTGTTTATTGAAATATTTTGTTTTCAATACTTGTCACGTGTTTTCTATACCGCTTGTAATCTGGTTCATTCAGGGTCACATTATCTCTGACGGATGTTTCATGCGTAATCATTCCAAGGTCGTTTTCATGTCGTCAATGGATGGCACGTTATTGAAGATGTTTATGACAATAGAACATTCAATTTACAAGGGATGATGGGATCGGCTGGTGCCTTGAACAGATGATATAAATTTTAGTTATATTGCCTTATAAGTATTGTTTAATTTGCCGGTCACGCTGTGCTATTTTCGCCCCTAACTTTCGAATTTTACGAATTCAATAATGATTGTTGAAAAACAAGATATCGCATAATACTCACTACATTAAAATCCAGATATGTATAGTGCAAAGCTACTCATGAATGTAATGTACATTTTCAGTAATCGTTCGTCAACTCGTTAATGTACTGTGAAAGTACACGTGCTAGACTTCTCCTTGAGTAGCGGATTGACTTCTGGGATCTGCTGTTCATTTCAATTTTTACCATAATGTTTATCGTACTTTTGAACGATGAAATAGATCTATTCTTTCTCGTTAGATTCCTAGCTCTACATCTCATGGCTCTTTTTATCGCCACGTTTCACTGTTTCTTGATCCAAGTTTGTGTTGTTTTATTTCATTTATTTTTCAATTCAAGCTAATATTCTTAGATCCGGGATTCTGTTATCCCAATGATCACGGGAAAAGTCGTAATATTTTTGTTTATAACAGCCTTATNCCCCCCCCCCATCTCTCATTGCCTCCAATTTCTTATTTCACCCGGCTTATCTGTGGTTCTTTCGGATCGCATGCACACCCTCTACTTTATTCTTAAGTTTCACTCTCTCTCTGTCCCACTCGCTCTCTTCGTCAGTCTTTCTCTTTTCTTTCGTCAGTCTTTCTCTTTTCTTTCGTCAGTCTTTCTCTTTTCTTTCGTCAGTCTTTCTCTTTCTCCGCTCCTAACTTTTCTCGTTGGCTCATGCCGTTAGCGATTCAATGCTTAAATCGAGTTTCGTCATATTGTGTCGTCTTAAAATTGATGTTTAACGATGTTATTATAAGCTCATGGTCGATGGCGTAGTGCTTACTTATATGAATATAAATAACGATCTGCATTCGCTCTCAGACGACTCATGTCCATTAAAAAGTTCAATAATTCTGTCATTTGGCATCAACTTCTTCAAATATCAGTACAGATTACAGTTGAAGTTTTTGAAACTGTTGAGGTAATTTACTTGAGCTATACAGAATGAACTTTTGTACTCGTAACTCAACTGACGTGGGCGCTTGTGTAAACGAAGCTCCAGGTGTTCTTTATGAAGTTACTGACTGTATGACCTTCATGCATTTTATCTGTGTAAAATATGAAGTAATTTTCGAAGTTTCTTGAAAATTTTTACTATATTTTTAACTGTCAAATTTTTCATAATGTATGTGCATTGATTCTCATGCTAACACTGTAATTTTGTATTTGGCCTTGAAAATTTTTCAATTTCAGACTTCAGAATAACATGCAATGCAAGTTTTATCTCCCTAAATTTATTGAGAATAAGCTGGAGCTCCCAATTTCATAGAAAAACTCTGAGTTTTATTGTGTCTACTCATTAACAGAATCGTTTGAAATTCAAAATTATTAATGATAAATGTTTTTTTTACAGATCTGTCTCTTCGGATACGCCGAGCACCTTTCTACGAGTGCACGTGTTGATGTTTAGGTTAGAAACCTGTGAAGCCACACGAACTATTTGGTTTGAACGAAATAACTCGTTCTGCTAAAGAGAAAACCTACTTTTCGATGTGCGTTTGCATCAGTCAGTGACTGATCTTCGAACCGTGACAGATTCTTGTCTCGAACCACGAGACTTCGGTTCACATGAAATTGATGTGATGCGAGTGCACGAATCTCTTAGTAATGAAGTAATTTCCATACATACAACGTCAGGAATGGATTCAAACAGCAAAAGACTTGCTGAACCAAGCGGTGCGTCTATGAGAAACGACAACATGGCTTACCGCAACGGCGGAGCGCCTGTGGCTCATCACCTTCAGATGAGAGGAGGACCGAGACCGACGATGGGTCACCCTGGCCCAGCCATCCACCGGCCAAATCAGAATAGCAGGTTCCCCTCAGCAACTCAGTACCCCAGGCCTCCTTTCGGTGGTGGAGGTGGTGATATACATCGGGTTCCGTACGGATCTCATATGCCACCAAATGCAAACTCGCGTCGTCCATACCCTGAACCTGTTAAGGAAGATGATCACCTACAGCCTGGGGCGAAAGCCAGCGACGCCATGGTCCAGGAGCGTCGTGAGAAACTAAGGCAAGAGCGAGAACAAGAAACCAAACGTCTGGAGGCCCTGCAGGCAAGTGAACTAGACATTTATCATACTGGTCTAGATGCATTCTTGATGGGGCCTCAGAAAAGCTATGAACACCCCATGAAGGAAATGCACGAGGTGATGAAAGATTTGTACTTGGATAAAGCTCCTCCGTCTGTCCGGCCTCCTTCTCGGCCATCCTCTCCGACATCTCCGGCCGATCCTCCTCCGGTTATGATCAATAACAACGTTGGTCATCAACAACACAGACCGCCCCCGTACAACAAGTTTCCTCGGGCTGAAATACCGCCACCAAGAACTTCAAAGATGCCAGAAGAAAAAGTTATGAACTTACCTAACCCTAAGCACAGAACTGAAATTAATTCTAATTCTGAACCTAGAAACTGCGTCCAGTCAAGTTCAGAGCCTAGAAACAAAGGACTGCAGCAGAAGCCGCTTCGTGATTCTAATTCATTCTCTAGTAGTCGTCTGAAGCCCGATCAGCTCACGGCTGCGGCAGAGAGAGCTGCTCGTGCTGCCGCAGCTGCTGCTCAAGAAGTTTCTCCTGTACGACCCGCGCTCTCTAGCGCTTCTTCTGATGCTGCCCACGTGTCCGGAATGACTCTGATGGCGGCTCCATCGCGCGTGTCCAAACGCCCCAAGATCCCTATGCCCACTCCTGACGAAATAATCTCATCGACACTCATACCCAACACATTCATCAGCCCAATCAAGCAGAACCTGCTGGTGGACTCGATGGACTATACCCTTTCGGGTGGCATCTCTCCTCTGAGGGACATCATGCGACCAGCTCCGCACATCCCTCCGCCTCCCGTCAGCGCGTCGGACGGGTCTCACCTCGACACGCATAGCGGCCCGGTGTCGATCGTACCTAGAAGTCAAGGTAAATGTTAGCTTTTATTCCATGTGTAATTGATCCCTTTTAATTCTTCGTACAAATTTCATGGTTAACCTAGCTCTTTTTTTCTTTGCATGCAGCTATGCTAATTTGTATATGCAACGTGCTGACTAATTATGCAGATTGTTTTGAGTTAACTAATCGAGTGAAGTTGTTATTAAAGCGTACAATTTCATAATCTTTTACCACAAAGCATACACCACTTTTTAATAATGAAATGTCAATCACTGGGATGATTGGCATTAAATTGGTAAATTTTGTTTACATTTCCCACTCTTCCGTCTCCTCTACGTTAGTGTATCCTAAAAACTTTCTACTCAGTATAGAAAACATTTACTTTCGCGCGCAGTTAGCCTTGCATTGCGCGCGCGGAAGTGAAGCTTGACTGTTTTCCCCCACCTCTCGTTTGAACGCCATTGAGCGGAAGTGATGTCACGAGTAGGAAAAAACTAAGTTCTTCCCGTTCATAAAAGTTGTTGTTTTCAAATCATTTAGTTAAAACATTGAAAAATGACGCGTAATGAATAGTTTTTGGAGCGAAGGCGGAGCGTAGCATCTTCATTGATCAGCTGGTTACCATAACAACTCGCCCCTCTGCCCCTGTCTTCCTTTACTCGTGCGTCCGCGCAGGCGCTCTTTAGTTGTCGTTGGACCGTTATTTGAGAGCTTGTTTAAGTTGTTGCGCTCCTACAGTCGTGCTATACTCTTACTATAGGATATTGCGTGGCTATATTATCACTTACTAAACTCATTGACGTGATAGTTTTCATTCCTAACAATATATTCCAGTGAACGCTTAGGTTGTTTTTGCAATTAAATGACGTGGTGGACAAAATGAATCTGAAGTGTAGAAATGACGTGAGCTTTCTGGAAGAGCGTGCTTATGTGTAACAGTGTATCCTTCTAAGGATGAAGTTGTGCTGTCAATGTTAGCATCATTTATTGAGTGATTTCACTTTGTGGTAATGCATGCAATTGATGCTAAAATTTGAAACTTGATTTTCCACTGATAAATGCTGACTGAACTTGGAATAGAGAATGTTTTAAATTAAATAAGTGGGATTTTCTAGCAAAGAATTTGTGTGATGAGCAACAAAAATGATTTAAAATTATGAACAACATTTTAAATTAAATAAGTGGAATTTTTAAGCAAAAGAATTTGTCTGATGAAAAAAATATTGAATTGGATCAGTAGCTATTGAAGATTTCTATTGTGGCTGTCAAGGATGCGCATGTACCAAGGGCCGCCTCCTGCTCCTGGTCGCTTGTCAATTCGTCCTCGACGTAAAGGAATATCTTACCAAGGAGTAGGCCGAGGATACCACCCTCCACTTGCATGGCTTCCCCCTATCCCCCCAGCTCACCAGTCACCCATTCACTCATACCTACACTCCCATGATACACATGCCATTTCTTCATATGAGAACTTGAATTTTTCAACATCTCAAAAATCTCATCAATATTACCATAGCACAAATCCACCCCAAGACTCCAATGCAATAGCTGAGGTGTCTGCTGACTCGCCTCATATCCATTCTCAACCTCCATGCTCACATAATATTGTTAGTCACTCTGTCTCATCACCAGACCTGAGTTGTGATCATTCTAACAGTCAGCAGTTCCCTGTCAATAACAATGATTCTAGTAAAAACCACAACACTGTAAACTATCACTACAGCTCTCACAATTATGCAAGTCTTCCAGCAGAAGTGCAGCAGCCCACAAGCAACATAGGTAGCTGAAATTATTTCTGTTGCATGTTCATAGATAGCTTACATTTAATATATTCACATTTGTTTCAGTATTTTGAAACCTCAAATCTTAACAAATCATGTTTTGTATTTTATTTTGTAACTGCATTGTTCTCTCCCTCTTTGTAATTGAGTGATCTTTTATGCTTCCTTTCCTGTATCTGGTTTTTGATCTGGTAGAACATTATTATGATATGAATTTGGACCAAATCTCATGTTTTAGAAGTTGAAGATTTAAATATGTCAGTATTTGAGCTATATGTATATATAGGTACCTATAGATAAAGAAGAGAGGGTTGATATGTCAAATGAGGCTTTCAGCACCTCACTTTTAACTGAGTTTCTAATAAGTTACATCTGAGCTTTTGAGTGCAACTACATAAATGAAAGTTCTGCTGCTATAAGGCAAAGCATACTAACTCAATGCCCATATTAAAAAGCATACCATTATTTGACTTAAAAAGCTAAAAATAATTATTTAGGTATATATTATATACTATATGTTTCTATTTGTCAGTGAAATTTTGTTTGCAATCAAACTCAAAAATATAAATCAGATAACATTCTGCTTACTATGGTCTTACTTTAGCTGCATTTTTCTAAGCTATCTGTATTCAGTGCTAAATTTTATGCTTGGGTTTCTAGTATTTAAATAGTCTCAGGCTATATTTTTATGAAATTTATTTTGATTGAATTTTATGAATTTTTGTAACTCTATTGAATTGTTTCAGATGTAGAGACCAGCCCAGTAGGGATCAAACGAAATCACCTGGCGCAGAACGGTCACGCTCCCTGTCAACCTCAACAGCCTCCTATTTCTAGTAACTCTGAGAGACCTGAACACGTCAGCCCGCTGTCTGCTCCTGTAAAAGATCCTGTCATGGAGGATTTGTCCTTCTCAAGCAGCAACACTGATAACTCCATCAATGAATCTAACTCCAACGATGAAGATGATTCATCAGATACTTCAGACTCCTCTTCTACTGATGGCGAGGAAGACAATCATGATAATGAGAATAATGAAGTCAATAAGTATTCAAGTGAGGGTGACTCGGTGGACAAAGTTGAAGTCAAGAAAGAGCTTGCTGAGGATGATGGTCAAGGCAAGGACTCATCCAATTGGAACCTTACATTCTTGTTTAGAAGTGATAAATCTGAAGCCAAAAACTCTGAGGCCCGATCTGCTGCCTCTTCTGGGAAGGCAGGGTCCAATAAGAGTCGAAACTCAGAGCAGAAAAATTTCGAGTCTCGCAAATCTCCCCAATCACAAGGCAAGTTTAATTATGAGAGATCACCTCTGTCAGAGGATTCATCAGACGGTGAACAGATGCCCAAGCCTGCAATCAGACCTACTCCTCAAGTAGCGCCAATACCGAGAGCTTCTGACAGGAATAAATCTCATCTTAGCTCCTCTGATTCCAGTGATGATTGCGCGCCTGTTCCACAAGGGAAGAAATGGAAGAGAGAAGTGCCTTCTAAACCTCCTGTCACTTCACCTTCTAAGATGAAAACTGCCGGTAAACCAAAGACCAATGCTAGAGCGAGAGCAAAAAGAATCAATCCTGGCGACAGCAAGGCAAAATCCAGGGCTTATTTGTCTACTGATGAGAGCAGCTCTGATTCTGATAATGATCATCGAACCCTTAAGCCGCTCCCTAAGACAAATTTGGCACGTAAAACTACTCCTAAAAAGACAGCCAACCCAATCACTCCTGGAAAGGAAAATTCAAATCGTCAGCCTCTGACATTCCCGACTATTAATATTCAATCTAAAAACAAACAAAAGCCAGAAACTGTAAAGTCGCGATCTTTGATTGCCGCCTATCGTGTCAAAGAAATTTCTAAACTGAACAAAAAAGAAATACTTGTTCCATCAATCCCGGACTACAACTTTGTGTTTCCTGAAGATGCCACTGCAAAGAGAAGAAGAGGAGAAGAGTTGGCACGAGTCACTAACTCTAGGACCTCAGACGCCAATAAGAAAGAGGTTTTACTAAATTTGTATGCAAAGAAGGATCATGGTCATCACGATCCTTCAAGCAAGTCAAAAGACCGGAAAAAGCGGAGTCGGGAATCTTCCGTTGCTCCTAAAGATGAGGTTAATGACAACAAAATCCCAAGAATTGATATGAAAGGCGAGTCTGTGGCAACGAGGGCAGAGCATGATCTGAAAGAGAACAAAGTTAAGTCACCAGTTGATTTAGGAAGTGTCAAAAGAAAACTTGAAGTACCTGATTTGGAATCTGTCCAGAACAGTAAAAGAGCAAAAGATGAAACTCAAAAATGGCATAGCGAATGTGTTTCTGATACTGAACATCGTCGCAGCAGCAAGAGCAGTAAACACGCAAAACGGACAAGCCCAAATAACGACCACAAGCCATCAGGAACCAGAAGCAGAAGTAACAGTCGGTGTCCTAGTCGCAACTGTGGTGCAGAGGAAGTTACTGCGTCTTTCATGGGTTCACCATCAGTGTCTCAGGGCCTGAACTCTAGAGTGCCTCTTGAAGGGGAATCAAGTGGTGCCTATCGTAGCAGGCAGTCCAACTGTTTATCTGCGGCCATGCATTTATCGTCAGCCACTCCACTCCCTGCCACTGCAATGACGCCGTCATGCACTCCTGCTGCAACTCCTTCAGTTCCTCCTGCCGCTGTCACGCCTTACGAAGACACGAGTCGGCGGTCTCCTTCAGCCGACATTAGGAACGACTCGTTCAACTCGGACAATTCTCCTAACGCCTTAGAGAGACGGCATGCAAATCGTTACAAACAATCTTTGCCTGCTGGATTCAGAGATGTTCCTTTACCCATACCCATAAGCAGGCTTTACCCAACCATCGGAGCGCTGGAAGGCATGAATCTAGAACAAAAATTTGATTTCCTTTTCGGTGTTTATGAGAAGAAGTACCTGGAAAGAGCAATTGCTTTGAAAAGGATTGGTGACGATAATAGTCTCGATTTTATTTTCCGATGTGCAAAATATTTGGAGTCTTTTATATTTTTTGTATTAGAAGGCCTTGTTTGGGAGCTTGATGCTACCACTCACCACTCAGCTCTGGGCATGTTTGAACAAACCCTTAATATCATCAGGTGGGTGTTTTTACGTAGAAAGAAACAAACTCTTAGTTGTTCTCAAGAATATTATGTATATTACCACCCAAAGCTCGCAGTTCTTGGTCGTTTTGCTCAAAGTTTGCTCTCTCTCAAAGTTTATTCCATAAGACGTTGTGAACTCAAAGAAAACAAAGGCCTCATCAGAAACTACTGTGAAACATTTGGGAAAAAACCCAACACCAGTAGTGCATCTCAAAACGGTCCCAATGGAGGGAGTGGTTCTGGTGGCGGAGCCAACCCTACTTCGGCGTTCCCAGGCGAAGGAACTAACCCTGCTACCGCATCAACTCCTTGCGGTCATCCTGCAGAGCCCCGTAGAACTGCAAACTCACCATCTGGTCTGTCCTCTACTCCATCACCAGCGGAATCACACAACTCCGAGTCATCAACTTCATCAGGTTACAACACAACGCCGGTCGTGGCCACTCCCTCACCTCCGCAGGAGACCACGCCAATGGTTGAAGTTCCTCTTCTTGTACATGAGCAGCTTATGCGCAATCAGTCTATCTATGAGTCCTTAACAAACGCCCATGAAATGTGGGCCGAAGCTCAATCTTTGATCAAAGGAGAAGAATTAGAAAGTGAGTATTGCTAACTGTTAAGTGTGACTATCAGTGCGTTGGCTCTTCTATATATATATTCTCTCTATTCTTCTCTCTATATATTCTTGGCTCTTCTAGCTCCATACTTTCCTTCAAGGCTCCCATCCGTTTTCAGCATAAAACCATTTTATTTGAGATGGATATTCCATTTGCGACAGCGACCAAGATCTTATCGTTTCTTGGTTAATGTTTCATCGAATAAATGTTCACCTATAACTTCTATGTGACAACTGTTGATTGGCACTGATCATCTTCGAAAAAATTATTCCTGAGATTTCAGAAAATGCTTTTAATCTTAATTGTCTATAGTATAATTACGTGCTTCCTGATTTAGCATGGAAAATTGTTATGCCAAATTTCATCATTGTAAAGTAAATTACTCTTGTTTTGTGCAGCATTCTTTGCGTGCCTGTATGAAGTGGTGTGCCCGCTGACGCTGCACTCAAGTCTCTACGAGTTACTGATCTACATCATGGCCGGGCTGCGGGAAATTGAACTGACCTTACCCAGACACTTCATGGCATCAGGGACCTGTAGAAGTGAATTATCAAGCACTTCTGACACCATTATGTACTTCCTTAAAACGCCAAATTTCAAGTTTTGTAACACTCCCAGCTTTCAGTTTCTTTTAATCTTAGCTTTCTTTTTTTCCATGTAAATTATGCAATTTCCTATTAGTAAATGCAAACGTTTAAGTTCATATTGCCATTATTGGTGATATTGGTTTTTCCCTGGTTACGAATTTTTTCATACATGGAAATGATATCTACTAATGATCTACCACGTTAATTTATCTTGGTCTTAGTGACATTTAGATTGGCAAGATTCCAAGACACATAAATGAGCCACTTCTAGAAAGTCTCGTCTTCCATAGTATTAGGTTGAATAAAACATCCCTGTATCTTTTTTCAATCTAACAAAAAACTTTCTAAGGAATTGGTAAGACAATTTTTATTTTTTATTTTTATGCTTCCAGTGTCGTAATTTTAGCTGCAAGCTCCTACAGCTGACGACATATAACGGGAGTGCTAGTATAAATGCTAGTATGATCGTAATTAGTTTGAAAATGGAGTAGCCATCGAATAGAATTTACGAAAAAAAACGATAATTTCATTAAATATTGTCTACGAAGTTGATTCTTTCTTGTACTTTGTCCGTGAAAAGAAAACTCTAACCTATGCTTCAATCTTAGGATGTTAAAACTACAAAACTAGAATACCTGAATTCAGTCTCAATTCTCCAACATGCTTTTTATGTTTTGAAATTGTTTAATCCAGAAATATTCAAACCTAATGATTATGTCTTGATTCGTAAATTAAATGATTATTGCAATTATGCCGATTTTGTATTGCTATATTTGTGACAGTATTTTGCATTGTTCTTAGAGGCGCTACGCTAAGCAAGCTAAATAATTTTTTTTTACAAACATAGCTTTACCCATTTGTTTGTCTCTGACCATAATGTTCATGTTAGTGTCACATCAGACCGATAGTACTATTAAACTTTCTCTTTGAGTATTGCAATTGTAGGTGTTCAAACAGTCACTAAGTCCTTTTCATTATTTTACTATTATATGGCAATTTTGGCTGGCAATCTGAAATACTTCTCCAGATTTAAGTCCTGAATTTCACTCCAACGTTATAACATACATGACTCGTGTTAGGCTGTGCAGCACGAATAATATTACTCTCAATTACCACTATCATCGCGACATTGAAGTGTGAAATAGTAAGAAGGCACGCGGTGTTGTAAGCGACAGTGCAAAGAGTTCTCTCACTATTAGACAATATTGAGAAAATGACCAGGGAGTGCACTGCTTGAGTACCTGTCAATCCTCGCCTTTATTAATTAGTGTTAAAGTATCTCAGTCTACGAAGCTGAGCTTCTTGCTGGTTCCTATGGAGACCTCTTACAAGAGTTGTATATTTTCCGAACACTGTAAATGGGCTATTTTGTAGTTATATTCAGTGCATTTGTTCATGTTGTACAGTCGTTGGATCATTCGCTTTAGTTGTTAAGATTTAGCGACGATAGAGAGACTTTGTATTTCATGCTTAGATAGCGCACACTCGTTTAAGTAAGTGGTTAGTACCCTAGCAGCAATTAATTAAGGGTATTAATTCCTTGTAATGTTATGAGGGTGAGACCTGAGTACAGTTCTAGAAGTGATGAAATGCTTTAGTCTGATAACTTGATAAGAACGTGAACCATGCTTCTTGCCTCGCTCGTATTATGCCTCGTTCTCAGTGTATTAGAGGTATGTTCACACTCTAAGGCCAAATTTAGATTTATTCCAGCCCATGCAGCTTCTACATTCTAAGTTGTCACATTGTTATGTATTCGGTTCGGTAATTTCTGCTCTAACCCAACTGATCTCGAACTCTGAACCCTACCAGCTTGTGGTAGTGCCTTCCTAGCGTGTTCTTAAGTTTTCACGATATTTCGGTTCGTTTTCTTCAACTCCTTTGCTTAGATTTTGTGTATAGCTTAGGAATCATACGCGTTTCTCATACCAGTCATTCATCGTAGCTAACATCTTAAAGGTGCAGTTGATTCACCCGACAAACGTAATCCAAATAGCGCCTGGTGCTTGCAGCACAGGTCTCATTTAGTCTAATTTGCACCTTGAAGAAGATTATCTTAATATATTTTATATGTATGTATATATATCGGTTATATATATATGTATAATATATAGTTGTAGCTGTTATAGTGCGATTTTTCAACATGTGATGTTATTTCTTCGTAATTGTTGTTAATGTTTGGTCGTCCTCAAATTCAGCAACACTTTTGTTCCAATTTCTGGCCTTCAAGGCATTTGAAATTTTTGTTTCTTATCCAACAAGATAGATTTGTAAGCGATTTACGCTCGATGCACTTTCGTTACCATCATCACACATTAGATACGGTATTCTTTGGTAAGGTCATTTTTTTCCAATAATTTTGCGTTGAATTTGATCAATTGTATGTCGACTGTAACGTTCTGTTGGTGCCATCACTCGGTTTCTTGTTTCTCCGATACTCTCCATCCTCAATTTCTGCATGGAGTCTTCTGATTTAATTTCAAATACTTACAATTGTAGCAACTTTACAATGTACGGTATTAATATATTTCTAGTTATACACCTATCAGTTTCCACGAGTTTACTTGGTGTGTTGAATGCTGATAACAGTTTTTGTAACAACCACAGTGTTTTGTCATGTAATATTTATTGCATTGTGTTTAGATTTCATTTAATGTGTTGCACTCGCTGTTCATTAAGAAGTTGCATGTTCCTAGGCTGTGTTCACACCGAGCTCATCATGAGATATTTTCATTCTTGAAAATATTTATTCTAGGCAAAGCTAGATTTCTTTATCAGCTCGTGGCGCACGAAGAGGAAGTATTTTTACGGAAAACCAAGTTCACGTAAAAAAATTTGATTTAGTTATGCAATCTATTTACTGTCTAATTTTATGCGTTGAGGCTCCTTTCATTGGTCTTGCTGTGAGCAACAACGTATTACGGCAGTACAACTCGGTGTTTATGTTGAGCGAAGTCCTATTGTATTGTGTTTTAGATGAGAAAATTGTACATATTTATAGCGTGTAAATGTTTCTAATATATTCCTTGTGCTCGAGTCAGCAGTACGAGTTCCATATCAAATATGGTTTGGTTGTTGTTAGAGACAGTTCTCGCTAGCTAGTATTGTTGTTAAAGCATTTTGTTGTTCACAGCCACTGATGCAAACACACGGGCCTGGCACCTCAAGGGGAGAGTCTAGATTTTCTTGGAAGAGGAATCACGTTCTTTTCCCCTTATGATATGTCTATATGACTGCAGAATTGCTGAATTCAATTTTTCAATTACTTGAAAATTTTCAATTGTTTGTTATGCAATTTTATCAAGTTTTTAACCCTAGTTATGGACATTTGACGAAATTAATTTCGTAAGTCTCGGTTCACATTCAAAATTATTTCCAAGAATTAGCTACCTACTTAGGGGTATAGTATGGATACTTGAATTGATGTGCATAATTCGAAAAAAAAATTTCTTTCTTCTGTCATGCGCTCATGTCTAACCAAGTTCGCGATTGCTTGCTATCTTTCGATGAAAATATGATCACGTAAATTCTGGTTGATTCACGAGTTAGTGTAATCTGGGAGGTTATTGAGTTAAATGCGGGTCATAAAAATATACTTTGTTCCATGCGCTAATGGGTTTACTGAGTACTCGAAATTTTCTGCTGTGGAGACATAATATGTAATCTTCTCGTTGGAATTTTGAATTGTATTCTATTATTCCTCATGTCATCTTATTTTAAATTACAGAAGGTACGATCGATATTGATGTCACACAGAAAACTTATGTCGTAATCCGAATACTACTTCAGTACTTCTTTCCTTCTTTGTGCTCTTATGTTTATGCTGTAAAGTACATGTTACTATGGAAGCAATAATTCATCTTGTTGTATTCGCTACTTTGTCTTTATTTATTGAGTGCAATTCGATTGCTTATTGAGTACAATTGACTGGCAGTAAGGGAGAATGCTCGTAAGCCAAGATATTAATGTTATTACGGGAATTTCGCTTCATTCATCGAAAAGTATTGAGAAAGTAGCACAATCTTGTCTGCTTCTCAACTAATTGGTCGATCACATCGTCTGGGTTTTTCTTTGTTCCGTGTTTTTCTTGGTTTTTATTTTTAAAGCATGTGTTACATCCGTCCTGTTCGTTCTTTTACCTTCGATGCATGCGTTACACTCGTACACAAGTTGACTCAAATATCAGTTTACCGCTAGGAGTGCTTCTATAAATGCTTCAACTTTGACGACCACTGCTTTTCTTTAATATTTCTACACGTGTGCCCCTCAAAATGCTCTGCAAAAGCTCGTCACGATCTCAAATCCGTAGTAGACGAGTCGTAACTAGAAAGAAAGTTGTCGTAAATTCAATCGTCTTATACATTTTTACACATGCATCACAATATACATTTATTACTTTACTCATTCATTGGTTCTAGTTATAGCAAAACATGAATGTAATTTACTTTTTTTTTTTTTGCTTTATGTTGCACAACCATCGACACTTCTTTTGCTCTCCTCCAAAGCTTCCCTGAAACGGTGTTTGAACACGACTAATTTTCTGGCTCGGTCATTCATTATCTAAGAAATACTACCAACAATTGATGCAATCGTCACAAATAATCATATGCTTACTATGATCTTCCGACATCCGAGTCGCAGCGTCACGCACGCATTCGCTTTGAACGTCCTGAACTAAACTCTTCTGAGGGCATCGTAGTTATCCTGAATTTAACTCAATTCCGTTTATTTGTTCTCGACTTCGGTCGTGAGGAGTTTGGTGTGCCGCCAGTTTGCACATCGAAATTAAATTGGAGTTAAATTCTGTGTGCTCAGCTAAGGTCCTTGTTCATGTTGTTGTCATTTTGAAGGAGGAATCGTGAATGCTGAAGTGCGCCTTCTTTGCTGCGTAGAGATTGTAAGTCAGTTTCTGTTGTGAGCGAGAGCAAAGTTCGGTGTTTAATACCTGTGCCTTTGCCGTGACTGTACAAACATGTTAGGGTAAGAATTACCCTCTGGCATAGCACAGTTTTGCTCTTTCGAGACTATATCATGTAAATAAAATAAAGTATTTCTTATGCATATTATTATCTTGTTTCATTCCTGCCTGCGTTAATTTCTAACGATCGTCATACTGCGAAACCTGGAAAACGTCTGCTATCGTCACGATTAGTTCTAGCTTGAAACGTGAAAATTTTAAAAGTGCTCAAGTTGATCAGTTTCAAGTACATGAACGTTTTTTTTCAAATTCATTATTAACCGTTTAGAATCATAGTGCCGCACATAATCAACATCAGAGATGGAAGACATATTTTTTAATAACAGTACATTCCTTTTAAACCCAATAAAATCGTTGTTTAGGACTGTATCAGAGTAAGAGGAATCGCATGGATGGAAAAGAAGTTGCTTTGCTCTCTTTTTACTGTACGAAAAGAAAGTTATTGACCATCACAATTTTTTGTTTTTAAACGCCAAGGTAGTACTAAAGAACACAGATGTCAGTCGATAAAATCTTGAATTATCAACCGATGAACTATTTTGCCATTGGACAGGAAAGAATAATTCATAATACGAGAAGATCGCGATTACGATTTACGAAGAAAGCGCCACTTCGCAGCCGAAGTGCCAGACTGCCAGTCGCTGTTAGACAGCTGTGCGAAGAGGTTGTGAACTCCGCTGTCATCCCCACTCGTCGCAGTGGATAATACCAAGTTAAACGTTGGGGCTAAATTATTTCGTTTGTGTGAAGTCGCGAACAACATTGTCAATTGCTCGTTTATTTCAGTTTCTCGCTGGAAAATCTAATATTTGTGCCAAATAATAATGCTACTAATTAAAATTTTCACGTTTCCATATATGTTTTAAATTAATAAGTTTTTCCCTAATCACAAATCAACTTGCGTATGTATCTTCAGCACCTTGCAATCAAGATGTAGTGCTTAATTTAATTAAATGAGTATTATGCCTAAGCTTGAACTGAACGTAAACTCCACAAATCAGTCTGATACCACAGTTGATATACCTATAACATGTGGATGACGATTTGGCTTAATTTTGCATTCAGTCTTCACCTATAAAGAAAGTAGGATAGTCCAACGTATCTCCAAAATAATGATTAAGTAGAATGGACGATCAAAATAGTTCATGCGGACACTGGTAATAACACGAGTATTACTCGCCGTGTTTGAATGGCAATCGGCACGCTGAACTCGCGTCACTTATTATAACCCGTGAATTAATGAATAAAATTAGGGCTAAAACCTATTAATTTTTTATTGTTGCTCTAAGGTGTCCCGAGCTTTCGTGTGTTAAATTACACGGCGTAAATGCAATGCAGGTTAGGTGCACTGAACAGGGTCTCGGAAGTTCGGAACGTTTACGAACTATCGACGAACTGAATGATGGAATGAATAACTGATATTTGCGGGAAAAATTCCATGAATTGATTGCTTTTTAGATATCGAATTGCTTCGTTTAAATTAGAGTTATTGAAGATAAAATCTATCAACTGTGCGTGTTTCGTATTGGAAAACAACATTTATTAGAAATTTTTGATAGTCTCGACGAAATATCCTCAAGGAAAAGCTTCTTTTCAGAAAAACTTCTGTTTTTTTATTTAGTGAATAAACCTGAAATTAATGTATTATTGTGCATTGTGATTCTATCATTTGATGATTGAATGGTCACAATATACGACCAATTTTATTTGAGTACAATTTACTTCAGATATACGATGAAGATTTTTCGAGTATGGCATCAGCTTCAAGTATTGTAAGTCCTGAGGAGGATAGGAGCGCGGTTGAGAGATTGCAAAATGGAATCGACGGAAAAATTTTGTCAGATTCTGAGTTCGATAACACCCCTATCGAAAATAAGGGCCATTCTTTAAATTTTACTGATTTGCAAAGAACTTTGACGGTGCTTGGTGATAAAGTAGAAAGACAGACGGCAGTTGCGGATGAAATTGATTATGGAATGACAGTTGTGAGTGAGAACGAATCTTCGTCGAATGGTGTAAAAATCGGCGGATTTCCTCCCATGCCAGTTGGAGGAGAGCATCTGTCAAATGAAACCGAGAACGAAAGAAAATTCCCGGAAAAAGACCAAGTTAGAAGCGAGGCGGCGACCATAAAATATGGGGTTGACAATATTTCCAACGCGGCCCAAAATTCTCAAGAAGCTTCAATTACGGAACATGTTTCTAGTTCGCAACCAAGTGCCGCTTCTCTTATAAATTCAAGCAAGTCTGTAGAAAATGAAGGTGAACCGATTAAAGACAGTCATATATTTTCTAGAACTGAACTTCAAAGTGATCGCGAACAAAAGAACACAGAATTAAAAGTCCAAAATGAAGTCGTTGAACAAAACTCCGAGCCACCAGACATGACACTGGCCATCTCGCATACAAAGGTAGAAGATAGTATGAGGGATTATTTCTTACCAAATTTTAAAGATTCCACTACGCGCGATCAAAGTTGCCCTGAAAGTTCAGCTTCGAATAGTTTTGGTTCTCCTAGTAACTCGTCAACTATTTTAATGGCCAAAAGTGAGGACGTATCGCAGTGTTCGGGGCTAAACGCTGTCCTAACCACGGGAGGAACTGAGGAGACGTCCCCTACGCCGGACTTGAAGATCGGTACCCACGACGTGTCTGAGCTTCGTCAGGTTTTCGAAGCCGTTGACGAGGAAGGCACCGGCACTGTCAAGATATCAAGATTCATGCAACTGGCCGGACTTCACCTTGGTCATTCGCAACAGGTGAGTACCTACTATTGTGATTTATTTTACTGGGTAAAGATGCCAAGGAGCAACTTGACCTTCGCAATTATCGTATCACTGTACATACTGCAGAATAAATCAATTATTCAATCCACTATCAAATTGAATGCATCAATAATTGATCTTCCTAATCTTCCAAATTATTTTATTCATTAATTCTTCTAAATTCATTCCTCCACGCTTTGTTTGGTTTTGTCTTCCTTCACCATTCGGAACCATGGGCGTTCGTCAAGGCTGCGCTTGAGCTTCTCAAATTGCCGAGTTGGCCTCACAATTGTTGAGTGTCGTCACTCTGTCGTCTTTGTACGTCAAGACTCTCAGCCGCACGCGTGCTGCCATTGTCGCACAGTAGCAGGACGCTAAGGGGTTCAATTCTCTATATTTTTTATTAAAATTCACCCAAAAAGAATTTTAATGAGCCTCGCTAACGGCCTGTTTGCTCGCTATAAGTTAATGAACGTAATTTTGTATCTCCAAAAGAAACACAACATTTCAAAGTATTTTATACCTTAAAACTCTTATTAAGAACGATCACTTTGTGGAAAATATTTTAGCGATACCCCTACAGTTGGGCCAGCAATTATTTTGGGTCCTCCTCCTGACCATGAAACGTTTTCACGTTATCAGGAGTCTGGATATAAATTTATATTCCCAAGTCTTCATTTCCTTTATTATGGAAAAAAGCTCATTGTAAATTGTAAACTAATGGATTTGTCATCTGGTAGTTGATGCATACGTAGTTACCGCCGGCAGGTAACTGATACTCAACGTTTCTTTCTAGTGACTCGGCTGACATAATTACATCGAGTTAGCACTTGCTCTAGTTAGTATTGTGTAAGTGTAATATAGATAACTTTGCATACGCAAAGTTAATATGCTTCGAATAACTGCAGAAATTATGAATTCATTGCTTTGCCCCCTTGATAAATCATTCCTGCTTTTACCATGCACAATTTTTATGTACCTTTTTTCCTCCTAGGTCCAACGGTACCAAGTTTTGCTTCATCCAGCGCTTGGCTGGTCGCTGTATTTGCTCTGCTTATGGACCGTGAATGCATAAATGACGCTCAGTGCCAGCGATTCGTCTGAAGCAGCCATTCTACGCCTGGCTGAATTTGGGAACACGCTGATCTAAAAAACTTTATATTACTAAAAGGTTTTGGACTCTCAAAAGCAATCGTGCGCAGTTAGTATTTCAGGGTAATATTTTTAGAAAAATAAGTAGCTCTATAGAAACATTAACATATCATTGATATGTGTATAATAATGTTTATAGTATATATTTCATTTTTATTTCTGTCGCTTTTTTGATGTCTGCAGAGGTTGCTCTCAGTTTCGTTTAGTAATAGCAGTTTAGTAGTAGCCCGTTCTCAGTTGGATTTAAGTATGTTTTCTAGAAGAACATCTTAACAGCGTGCCAGAGTTTAGGCGATGCGTACGGTCAAGCCATAACTTTCCCCACGTCGCACGTGGTTGGCCACCTTCGCTCAACTCGAGCCGCGTTCATCTCACATTCTTCCCTTCACGACGCGACGTATTATTATTGATCTTAATGTATGGGAGTCTACGTCTAGGAATAACTGTAGGCTACGTAAATGCGTCTCGCATGGTTGCGGATGCATTCTCTGGAGATGAGTAGAAATAATAAGAATATAGAGTCGTTAGTCATGAAACCCATTACCCCCTACATCGCTGCATTACTAATACATCATTACGCAATTTGTATTCGATATTTCTTTCAAAATGCCCTTCAATGATAATATTCCATCACCTGAAGTTTCTTCTGTGATGGAATTGTGTTTCATTGATGTTCACTAATGGAATTGTGTGTTCGCAATTCCATTGATGGTTTTGTGTACATTGTGTTTCATCACCTTCTTTAAACTAAAAGACGTTGCTTGTCTTTTAGTTTAAAGAAACCGAAGTTATTTTTCTCGAAAAAATCCTTCCCCTCAGCTTGCATCTCTCAAGTGTAGGTGCGTACGTTGGTCGAAATTTTACAATTTTACCGGACGTCAGGAGCGCGCCGGAACATCCGGCCACTTTGTGACGGGTCCAAGGCCTTCAAAGATTCTTGGTATAAGACGGTCTGAAGGTTTTATTATCTGGGGCAAAAAACTAAAGCTCAAACTGCTACCAAAATACATCATTGTTAGAACGACAAATATACGAATTAGAATAAGACTCTTTTTCAACCTAAATCAAAATGGTTGCTTTTTTAGCACCGTGACATTGGCATCGGTTGTTGAAAGGGCTGACAAATGTTTATTTTTTGCCCTGTTGTGTCGAACTGTATCGAAGAGACCTACTGCACTATATATGCACAAATCGTACACTTTTGAAAATTGAAGAACTTGCATTCATCGATTTACAAGGTAAATCAACGTACAAAGCAAAAACCAAGGTCATGCTAATGTCAGTCAAGGTCAACATGCGTAAAAATGATAGATAGCCTTGAAACTGTAGTACTCTGACCTCGAGAAAAAGAATATAGTTGCTGAAATTGACAAATTATAAGAAATAGACTACACTTTAATTACAAGTTCATCGCCCACTGTATCCATACCACCCTGTTAACTCTGACTTGACTATTAAAATGGTGAATATTTTTATTAATATTCTAACCTTATTTAATCATTACATGTTGATATGATTGCTGTGTCAGCCTTCTCAGGGTACGTGCATATTAGTGCGCTTGTTGGGGCAACGTTGCCATGACGACGTGACGTCTCTCCCACGTCAGTAACGACGTTCACGAGACGCATGCACGTTATATGCAACTCATGCTGGAAGCATGCTAATGAGATTGTGCTCATGCTAGGAGCATACTAATGAGATTGTGCTCATGCTGGAGGCATACTAATGAGATTGTGCTCATGCTGGAGGAATGCGAATGAGATTGTGCTCATGCTGGAGGCATGCGAATGAAATTGTGCTCATGCTGGAGGCATGCGAATGAGATGATGCTCATGCTTTAGGCACGCTCATGAAATTATATTCATTCTGGGCGAACTTCGTTTTCATTTATAGTAATGTTCACTCTGTATGGCATCGAATCTGAAAAAATTATAAAATAATATCACATATTTAGAGGACAAATCGATAAAAATAAATCGTAGTTGCCTGCGTATATATGAACAATAATAAACTGCTCGGTTGCATGTCATTTTTTATTTTAAATCAAACACAATACATGCTTTCAAAAAAACAATATGGTGGTTTTGACTAATTTTTGGACGCGCGAAAGTAAGTTTCGAGACAAGTTCCCTATTTTTCGCCCCCGCAGTATAGAAATCTGTCCATAACTATAGTCATGAAATAACTCCTGACAGCCAGTGCTTCCGCTGCTCAAGGCCAAACTCCTGCAGAACAATGCCATGGAGAAGATGGTGCGTCTTCTATACATGCATTAAATTGACTGAGCTGCAACACGCATTACATATCATCTTTTGAGGAGTTTTTGGCACAATTTTTTGTGCAGTATATATGTTGTGCCAAATATATATGAACAACACTATATATGTATAGTGTTGTTCGGAATATTAAAGTTTGAATTTCAGTTCTGGTTCTATATACATTATACGTACTTGCACAATTAAATATGTTTCTCTTAAATTCATATAGTTCAATGTTCTTTTCCATGCGAGGGTTATCGATGATACATTTTCTATATTTTCGAAAGAATTTTTACCCAATTTAATTTTGATGTTAATCTAATTACCTTCATACTGGATAAGCAATTTCAAATGCTGCCTATACTTATTGCCTATAGTATTGCTGCCAGCAATAGTAGCAATTGCTGTATAGGCAGCAATAGTAGTATTGCTGCCTATACTGCTTATACTTACTATAAATTATTGAAATTGTTGGCAGTTGTATCTTGCTTTGTTTCAATTTTATCTATATTTCAAGAATGGACGCATAGAAAAGACGTTTTATGTCTGTTTTAAATGCTGTTTTTGTATCGATCGGTCATGTAATCAAATCTTGCCTCACTAAAAATAATTTTCACTTCTGCACCAAGAAACTAAGTAGCATTATTTCGAAAAAATATAACTCAGTACTCACTGCAGTGAGTGACAGAGAGCGCATTCTCGTCGACGAAAATTTGAGGTCACGGACAGACGGACGGACAGACAGACAGACGGACGGACGGACATGGCGAGCCCAATAGTGCATTTTTTCCATAAATGAGAAAATGCGCTAAAAATATAACTCAGTACTCACTGCAGTGAGTGACAGAGAGCGCATTTTCTCGTCGACGAAAACGTGGAGTCACGGACGGACAGACGGACGGACATGACGAGCACAATTGCGCCTTTTTTTCATAAATGAGAAAATGCGCTAAAAATATCATTTAACTCCTGTCAGATAACAGATTGCATAGGTCCAATTGTACCTTAACTCGTTACAATTAAAACATTGTAAATTTTTACAGTCTGACAAGAGTTAAAATAACGCTAGCGTATCGGCGCCGTTATATGCATAGCTAATTGTTAGATAATTGTCTCGTTAGATAATTGTCTCTTTCGCGTGCATCTGTAATCTCGATCCTCGCCATAATCGTAATTACCGTTGGAAACATAATGGCTTGACAAGGAATTTGTCACGCACAACTTTCCACATCTGGAGACCTTCACGGTTACTGAGGAAGAAAGCTTGAAAGTTTCTTTCTCTTTTTTGTCGTTACGATTTTGCCGCATCTTCATCTTCAAGTTTAATCTCATCTGTTACATGCCGTGTTTTAGATGCTTAGTCTTGGTCGTTCAAATTTAGTTGTCAAAGGAATGGTCGTTTCAGCAATACGTTGTCTTTTCTCTCTGTTAAAATATTGCTAACTTAATAATATCAAACTGTTTTTTCCATGTGAATAGAAGACAATGAATTAATCGTCATTATTTTATAATGATGAATGTATGGGAACGAGTTTAATCCAAGAATATGCGATCTTTATTTTTACGATGAACTCTCATTCAAAT